GCAACCCGAAAGTAACTGCCATGAAAAGTGTTTCATCTTGGGTGGGCATCGTACCTTCCAGCAAAAGGCCTTAAGTGCAGCCACCGATGGTCCATACTCCGGGCTCGGATAGCCACCGCCCGGATATACGTGTTCCACCTGATATCCCGATTTTACAGTATACCTCCCACTCTTTGTAAAATGCCATCCCTCTCGATCCGGTGCTATAGTCCTACTCAGAGGAATGCTTGTAATTATCTTCGCGTCCTCTGGATCAACTAGCATATTAACCATTTCCATATTCCAAGTCTTTGAAGGTGTGTGAATGAGGGAATCTACTGTGGATCCGGGTATAAATCATGATTATTTTTACTTGCTGGTCTCGCGCGAGTGGATGAGAGCCAAGGATCATTCCATACTGAGATGGTAGATCCCGATCCCACCCTTTTGATTAGTCCTTTGCTAACCAGAGATCTAGCAGAAACCAAACTTTGCCACCTATAAGAGGGTGAATATAATCGTAGTGGTTCCAGGGGAGATACTTGCCTAAAGTATCCTTTGAAGACTCGCGAGAATAGTGTATTAGGTTTCTCGATTAGCCTCCAGAATTGTTTTGCCAGCATGGCTGTATTAAAATCATCCAAATCCTTAAAACCCAATCCTCCATCCTCTTTAGTAATACATAGTTTATCCCACGACTTCCAGTGCATCCCACGCGTTGATGTTTCGGGGCTCCACCAAAATTGGGCAACCGCACTATTCAATTTCTTTATTATTGTTTTCGGAATCCGAAAACATGGTATTATATGATTAGGAAGTGCAGTTACCACTGACTTAATAATCACCTCTTTCCCACCTTTGGAAAAAAATTTTAGATTCCATCTATTAATCCGTTTATGTAGTCGATCTTGGACAAAACTAAAGACATGGGTTTTTGGCCCTCCCAATCTCTCAGGTATTCCTAGGTAAGTTCCCATTCCACCTATATTTTGTATCCCCAATGTGTCCCTGAGTTCTTGTCTAATTGATTCAGTGATCCGATGACCAAACTGCACTGATGATTTATTAAAATTAATTTGCTGCCCTGATACCATTTCATATTCCTTTAGAATGCGTATGATTGTCAGACACTCATCCTTTTGCGCCTGAGAAAAGAAAATGCTATCATCTGCAAAAAGTAGGTGTGAAACCGGAGGGCATGTTTTTGCCAAAAAAAAAGTTAAACCATTGATATTAATGAGACTTCATATTCATACGATTTATAATCATTTATATCTTACTTGAACAAAAAAAAAGTTAAACCATTGATCAAAAATTTTCAGTGTGGGAGTTATACCTTTTTTAATAATTTATAGTCGTTTCAAAACAAAAACAAAATCTAAATATAACATATAAGAAAAAATCTTATTTTTTATTATTTAATTATTTTTAATAATATAAAATTAAACAAAAAAAAAGAAAAAGTATACAAAATTGTTATAAAATATGTATTATTTATAATCATTAATTGTATGATATATTTGTCGTTTATAGAAATTTAGATAAAAATAACAGAAAGTGATTTTTTATTCTTTAACAATGAGCTGTCGTACTAATGTTAAGAATAAATTAGTTGTACATATAAGTTATAATAGACATTGTATTAGTCTCTTAAAACTGTGTGAAAAGTTTTGGAACGTTAATTAATATAGAACAAAAGGAGTATTTCTTTTTTTTTTTTTTTTTATAACGCTGATACGTTAAAGTATTCGAGACAGAACAATTTAAGAGAAAGTTAGAAGAGAAAGGAGGAAATATCAGTAGATATCAAAACAGAAAAGGAAAAAGAATTTCACCCAACCAAACAAAAGGAATATTTCTTAATAATCAAATGTAGAAAACCACATGTTGTTTGTTAGACCACCTATAATAATAGAGGGATGTTGAAATTTGTTTTCAATTGTTGAACATCTTTCAATGAGGTTGTTGAACTTTAAAACAAACATATACGATATCAACATGCCTTGTAAACTTTCAACAGTTGAAACTTTTTTTGTGTGAGTTAGCTTCGCCAATTGGATTAGAAGAAATTCTTGGACATATTTTTCTGATTTTTCGTTTCAACCAATAATTCAAATTTATTTATTTTATAATTTAGTTTTTTAAAAAAATATATATATAATTTATAACTTTTTATGATTTATAAATAGAGTTTACTTTTATTTCATTTAGATAAAAAAATCATTTTTCATTATAATTAACTATTTAAATATTTTAAACTTTTCTAAATGGATTATAATTGCTTTAATAATATTAATTTTAGTATTGTTTTTTAGAAAAGTAAAATAAGTGTATAACTAAAAAAGAGAAATTATGTTATTTTAGTTTTTAAGTTAACTACAATTAAAAATATTTTTAATATATAATGATTATATTGTAAAAGATAAAAAATGAATTAAAAATGATATGATGGGTAAGATGTTGAATTTTTTAAGATAAATTATTGTAGAAATTATAAATGTAGTAGATGTTAAATAAACTATGTGAAAAAAAAAGATGATATGGAATGTTTAAAAGAAAAAATAAGATATGGAAGATGAAGAGGATGTTGAAACTATTATACATTCTTATATCCACGACAAATAGATAAAAAAATGTTCCTTGTCAATCATTTTATATAATCTAGGACCACGTTAAAAGAAACTCATGTCGGTATGCAGTATGCCTCAGTGTCAAGCTCTGAGGAACTTAGATGAAGAAACAGACAAATCTTCCGATAACATTTGTTTCTATCTTCCCATATCAGTTGTAATATTTTTTTCTAATGGTCTGCCAGTTGTAATTTAACGTAACTTCTATCCAAACGGTCCTGAAATATTAAAACTTCAGATAAAACTGAAGAAAATGTCGACAAAAGAAATTCAATAAGATAAATTCGGGTTCAAATTTCACTGACCACACAGATATAGATTATTGTTTTCGACTTATTAAAATGTCTAGAAAATGATCTATCCATAGGTTATACCTCTATCTGAGAGTTTTTTTTTTGTTCGCACACCCATTCAGTTTAGATCAAGTGGTGGACAGACGAGTCGATCCTCCTGAGAGCACCTCCGTCTGGCCTGGTCTGATCTATATGGGAAAACACATCTCTTTTCCTCCTTGCTTCTTTGGCTAGTGCATCTGCTCTATCGTCCAGACTTCGAGGAATATGAGATAATCGCACATCCTCGAAGCCCTCATGTAGTCTCTGCAGTATCTCGATCTCTGTAGTAAAGGCTGGCCAGTTCTCCGGGTTTATGCTTATATCCACGAGATCCGAGCAGTCTGTTTCGAACCGAACCGAAGAAATCCGCAGGTCTCTCAGACATGCAGCTGCCCATAGTAACCCTTCCATCTCAGCATGTAGGGCTGAACGGCTCCTATGACATGTTTGTAATCCAAACCACTCCGAACCCATTTGATCCTTTAAGCTCCACCTTAAGCCACTTACGCTGCCATAATCAATCCATGAAGCATCAATTTGACATGAAGGGGTTCGGGGGGTTCGGGGAGCCCAGGGCCCTCTATAGCGGCTTCTGCATACAGAGGCACAACATGTACCTCATCGTCTTCCTCTCTGTCATTTGCCTTCCTCCAGCATTCTGCCTTAAGAGACGCATGTCGGAGGGTATTCACAGTGCTGGTCCTGAGATTTATGGGGTCCAATACGAAATTAAAAATAAGGCCCATAAATAATATATGAATCTTAATTCATAAAAATTCAAATATATAATGAAAATTACAATATCTCCAAAACTAATATTCCCTCTGTTTTATTATAAGTGTTGTTCTAGAGTTGTGCACACGGATTAAGAAAACAATTAATTTTACATATTTCCTATATAAAAACACAATTACCTATACACCAACCACATTTTAACCAATAGAAAAACAAATTACATAATAAAATTAATAAATTTTTCATTGAAAACCGAAAACGACACTTATTTTGTAACGAAAAAATTATATACAACAATACCTAATATGAAACGAAAGGAGTAAATGTTTATCAACTCTTAAACATAACTTTTTCTGCAAAATCATCCATCAAATTTTAATAATCAAGGTTTTTGATCATAATTTTTCAGTCAACTAGTTAAACTATTTAATCTTTCCGGTGTAAAGATTAAAATAAAGTTCTTAGTCTATCGTACCTATAAGAGAACTATAAGAGAGGCATGAAAGACAATTGTATGGTGAAGAAAATATAATTTAATCTAAGAAAGTAATTCTATTGCCTAATCAGTTATTTTCCTTTTTAGTTTATTATCATATTAACTAATATAAAATGATATATATGATGTAATTGTGCCTGCATTTTACATGAGGTCCCACCACATTTTAAGTTGGGCAACATTTATACATTGATACATTAAACAATAATGGGAAAAAAATAGGCCCTAAATATTTGAGAAAAATCATGGACCCCATGCAAAAGTTTCATGGGTGTGCCCTCAAAACCGGCTCTGGGTATCCATCGGAGAAACGATTTTCCCATTGAAGAGTTTGTTGTTCCTCGCCTCCCAAATGAACCAACAGATCCATGAAAATATGTGAAATTGTGAAGCCACCTGAGAGTTAAGTATGTGTTTTTAATAGATTCGGTTATTTTTTTAAGTTACAAAAATGTTGAGAAAAAAAACTGTAAAAATGAATTAAAAGTTTAGTTTTTTTCCTGCCTTATTTTTATGACTAACAAAAAAAAAGAAAAATCTTCTCGTCTTCTTGGTCGTTACAGTTCTGACTGCCGACAGAAACTTTACTACAATTTGCTCAATCTCTGTCAGAATCTATCTTCTTTACCACTGACAAATCAAACAAAACAGTAATAAGAAAATATCTCGAAATCCAGAAAACAACAATAATTTAGATTCATCGATAATAATCTGTTTTCTTCTTCCTTGTCTCTCTCTCTTTTCCGCGTGGCTTGCGTGTTACTTCATCAGTGCTTTAACTTCTTATGAATCTCGAGTCAATCCATTCACTACCTCTCCTCACTCCCCATCTCTAGGTTACTCTCTCACTCTCCCTTTCCTTATTATTTTAATCTATTAAAACCTCTGTGGAGTACGTTTGTGTAAAGCTTTGATTTGGTTCGTTTATGGGTTTTCACTTGAGATCTCGTGTAAAGTTCAATCTTTTCATCAGTAACCAAAACTGGGTTTGTTCACACACGTCTTAAAATCTGTTTTTTTTTTCTCTTGTAATGTTTTGTAGTAAAAAGTGGGTTGTTCTCAAAAGTCTTTAATTGTTTTTCTCCTTTAATGTTTTGTATAATACTTTCCAATTTGGGGAATCTTATGTTGCTTATAGTACAGTCTCTAATCTTTGATTTGCTTCCTTGTTTATAACCTTGACTTGTACTTCTAAGCTTCCATTTTTATTGAATTTTGAAATAGTAACAAATCTTTATTGTGTATTACAGGTTAAATTCTGAGATTTGGAGCAGCAAAAGTAACAAATCATGGCAACACTTAAAGATATCGGTGTAGCAGCAGGGATAAACATCCTCACTGCACTCATTTTCTTCATAATCTTTGCTGTTCTGAGGCTTCAGCCATTCAACGACAGAGTCTACTTCTCTAAATGGTACCTCAAGGGGTTAAGAAGTAGCCCTGCAAGTGGAGGGTTTTTGAATCTGGACTTGAGAGCATACCTCAAGTTCTTGCATTGGATGCCTGAAGCTCTTAAGATGCCTGAGCGTGAGCTGATTGATCATGCTGGTCTAGACTCTGTTGTTTACCTCCGTATCTACTTGCTGGGGTAAAGAAAGATACAAGCTTTTTAAAAACAAATTATTTTCAAAGTTGAGTCAAAACACCAATTGGCTAATGAGGGGCACTGTGTTTTCTGATCACTGAAAAGTTTAATAAAAGTCTCATAAGACTATATAGTATAGTGTGTCCTTAGGAATTGATATGTTTTAGGCTCATTGTGTCATCAGGAAGAGGCAGACAATGAAGTTGAAGCATGTCTCAGTTAATAAGTTGTTTTTCTTGGTTACATTAATTGTAGGCTTAAGATTTTTGCTCCAATAGCAATACTTGCCTGGGCAGTTCTTGTACCGGTCCATTGGACGAACAACACGTTGGAGTTGGCTAAGCAGTTAAAGAATGTAACTGCAAGTGATATTGACAAACTGTCTGTTTCAAATATCCCACAGTTTTCAAAAAGGTTTGTTACAAACAAAGTTCTCAAAATCCCTTTTCTATGATTTAAAATGTTGGATTAAGTAAAAATATTGTTTCCAGGTTTGCCACTCATATTGTAATGGCTTACGCCTTCACAATCTGGACTTGTTACATGCTTATGAAGGAGTATGAGATAATTGCTAACATGAGGCTTCAGTTTCTGGCCTCGGAAGCTCGTCGACCTGACCAGTTCACTGTCAGATTCATCTCTTAAGCTTACAACACAGAACACTGATTGTCTTGTGTGTTAATATGTCATGTTTTATTTTGACAGGTTCTTGTTAGGAATGTTCCTCCGGACCCAGATGAAACCGTAAGTGAGCTTGTGGAGCATTTTTTCCTAGTCAATCACCCTGAACACTACCTCACACATCAGGTAAAAAGTTTCTTTAATTAATTATATTGTGGTAGCTAAACTATTTATATTGTTTCTTTAATTAACTTCTGGAATCAATATTAAGGTGGTATGCAATGCAAACAAGCTAGCTGATTTGGTTGATCAAAGGAAGAAGTTGCAGAACTGGCTAGACTACTATCAACTCAAATACTCTAGAAACAACTCTCAGATTAGACCTATGGTGAAGGTACTTAAATTGTGCCAAAACTTGATAACTAGGATGTCTTGTTATGTAATAACGTCTTTTTCTCGCTTCTCTTTTTAACAAACACAGCTTGGCTGCCTTGGCTTGTGTGGACAAAAAGTTGACGCAATTGAACATTACATGGCTGAAGTTGATAAAACATCAAAAGAGGTATAAGCTTTTCTGGTTTACCATTTGTTTTCCACATTATTCCTCTATCTTCATTGTTTGTTTATAGATTGCTGAAGAAAGGGAGAATGTAGTGAAGGATCAAAAGTCAATCATGCCAGCATCTTTTGTCTCTTTCAAGACCCGTTGGGCTGCTGCTGTCTGCGCTCAGACCACACAGACCCGAAACCCAACCGAATGGTTAACTGAATGGGCCCCAGAGCCACGTGATGTGTTTTGGCCAAACCTTGCAGTGCCATATGTTTCTTTGACTATAAGAAGATTGGCTATGAGTGTAGCCTTCTTCTTCCTCACTTTCTTCTTCATCATCCCTATTGCATTTGTGCAATCTCTTGCTACTATTGAGGGAATTGAGAAAGTTGCACCCTTCTTGAAAGTCATCATCGAACAGTGAGTTCTCTCTTTTTTTTTCTCTCTCTCTCCAGACAATTGTTCTCGTTCTTACATGACATTTGTTTGTCTTTGCAGTGGCTTCATTAAATCGTTGATAACAGGTTTGCTATCTGGTCTTGTGCTGAAGCTTTTCCTCATCTTTCTGCCATCCATTCTGATGACCATGTCTAAGTTTGAAGGCTTTACAGCGATTTCATTGTTGGAAAGACGATCAGCGTCTAGATATTACATATTCAACTTAGTGAACGTCTTTCTTGCAAATGTTATCGCTGGAGCTGCGTTTGAGCAGCTCAACTCTTTCCTCAACCAGTCACCAAATCAGTACGCATCTCTCTTGATGAAGTTTCATTCTTTCTTCTTGTGCTTCTTCTTCTCTAAAGACTCTCTTTCTTTCTCAATTCAATGCAGGATTCCTCAAACCATTGGTGTGGCGATACCAATGAAAGCAACCTTCTTTATCACATATATAATGGTTGATGGGTGGGCAGGAATTGCAGGAGAGATTCTCATGTTGAAACCTCTCATTATATACCATCTCAAAAACGCTTTCTTGGTGAAAACAGAGAAAGACAGAGAGGAAGCAATGGACCCTGGAAGCATTGGTTTCAACACAGGAGAGCCGCAGATACAGCTTTACTTCCTTCTCGGTCTTGTCTACGCTCCTGTCACACCAATGCTTCTTCCTTTTATCTTAGTCTTCTTTGCACTTGCTTACGTTGTGTACCGTCATCAGGTAAAACAAGTAGTTTAGTTTCTTTCTCTTCTGTTGATTTTTAAAGAGACTTTGTAACATCATTTTATTCTTGTTAATCAGATCATAAATGTGTATAATCAAGAGTATGAGAGCGCTGCTGCGTTTTGGCCAGATGTTCATGGACGTATTATAACGGCATTGATCATATCTCAGTTGCTTCTGATGGGTTTGTTGGTTACAAAGCGTGCTGCTTTAGCTGCACCGTTTATCATCGCTCTTCCAGTGATCACCATCGGTTTCCACCGCTTTTGTAAAGGCCGTTATGAGCCTGCCTTTGTCCGTTACCCCCTGCAGGTCAGGTTCTTGTAACATATCTACTACGGTCTGGTTCGGTTTTTGTTCACTTTTTTTGTAAAATTTCTTCTTACAGGAAGCTATGATGAAAGATACGTTGGAAAGAGCAAAAGAGCCGAACCTGAACTTGAAAGGATACCTGCAAGAAGCTTATATTCATCCTGTTTTCAAAGGTGGTGATCATGATGATGATGACAGTGTGCTTGGAAAGTTGGAGGGAGAAGTCATCATAGTGCCAACGAAGCGCCAGTCGAGGAGGAACACTCCTGCTCCAAGCAGGATCAGTGGCGAGTCTTCTCCGTCTTTGGCCGTGTTTAACGGTAAAGAAGTCTAGTCAGGACTATATAAACATCATAAAAATGTATGAAAGAAATTTCACATGTGTTATGTAGTACATATAAGCCTACTTTTATATGTACATAGAGAAACGTTTGGTAATTGCTTGAAATAGGTTTGTTTGCTTAAGAGGATGATGTGTTTCTCATGTTGTACAATTAAAACTTCGAGGGGTTTTTTTTAAGAAAATATCGTTTTGTATTGTAGAATATATAGTTAGAAAAATAAGAAACTCCACGTGGCGGATATAAACGAACCAAAAAATAGCAGAAACAAAGTCAACGCAAATAGTCACCCTTGTGAAAGAAAACTAAAGGAAACTTGTGACCAAAGCAAATCCAGTTACTACTAGTCTTTCTTTAGACTTCCTCTAAGGACAGAAGTTGGAAACACAATCACTTCGTGGTCTGAGGTTTCTTCGACTTCCTTTTACGTCGTGGCTTCCCCGTACTTGTAGAAGGTGGCGACGGTGTATCACCTTGTGAGCTTTCACTACAAGGAGATATATTGTCTTGGGAAACCTCATCAGCGACCTTGCAATCCTCCATGTCCGTCTTCTCCGTGTCTTTCTCCGTTATGTCTTTCTCTTCAGAGATCTCCTTACGTGCCTATGAAGAAGAAATATTAAGTTTAGGTTTTATTATGGTTACTATGTGGCTAAAACCCTTACAGAAAACTAAGTGAATACCTTTTGTTTTTTATTTTTCTTAGCAGGGAGGCTGATCTCTTCAGAAACGGCCGCGGAAGGAGGGCGGAGTTTTTCAAGCTCTTGGATAAGGGCAGTGACGATTGGCTTAGAGCGGATGGTTTCTTGTTGCTCCTTGTTGAGGGTTTTCCCTTGGGAAACTGATTCTTCCATGTCGATGATTCGGTTGTATTTCTTGCGGTGAGTACGGAGACGTTTGCTGATGAGAGCCATGACTTGTTGTCCTTCTGTGGCGGCCATGGTGTCGATATGAGGGATGTGAACGTTGGAGAAAGATCACCTAGGTGGAGCAAGAGAAAGTAGTATGAAACCTTAATTAGGTTTTTTTTTTGTAGGTATGAGAAGAACAAGTTACATTAATTCAAAAGTACATATATATACAGGAGAGACCTTACGATGTAACAAAATATTATTGTATATTCTGTGTCATTATCTTCTATAGTTATTTCCATATATCACAATTATTTTACCAGCTGGAAAAAAAAAGAAAATTAGCTAATTATTTTCTGTTTTTCCTTATTTTCTGTTTTTTCCTTATCTTTGTGAAATTAACTTTTTTTGTTCCAAGTTTGGAATAGTAAGCTTTCAGTGTTAATCATACCCAATTTATTCCCTTTCATTGTATAATCTATAAAATTATAAACACCCACAAGATACATCCCCTATACATTAAAAGAGAATTCACTTTAGTGATTTCTGCTTACATGACACTAATAGAAGACACTCTTGAATTAATTCTCTTAATTCTATTGGTTCCTTTTTGCTAATTTCTTTTTGATTTATTTTAAAATCGACAGGAAAGAGTTAACCTAGAACCACTTAATCTAGGCTTCCAAACACTCTCAACGATACATACATATATATATATATATTTAACTCTTTAGAACATTATTATAAATTAAATATACTAACTCCTTAGAACATTAGTACATATACATATATATATACATATATATATATATATATATATATAAATTTAGTATAATATATAATTTTGGTTTCCAACCTGCAATAATATATTTTCATAAATCTAAATTTTATGTGATTTCTTATCCTGGTAAGAAAAACACACACATACATTTTATTTTATACTAAAATATGTTAAAAATTAGTAATAATTTCTTATCCTTTATATAATTATTGTTAGAAAAACACACATACATATTATATTAAATTATGTTAAAAATTCACTAAATACTACATAAAGGCTATTTCAGAATTTATGTATTACTAAATAATATATGTTTACTAATAAATTACCACATTCATATTTAAAATATTTAGATATTATCGCAGGTCGCAAACAGAGAATATATTTTTCTAAAATATATAACAAATTTTAAAAATACTACATAAAAGCTATTTAAGAATTGAAGGATCCCTCTATACAGTAGAACCTCTATAAATTAATACTCGATAAATTAATAATCTCTCTAAATTAATAAATTTTGTCGGTCCCAACTTGGGCCGGTTCAAAATTTGACACAAATCGATAAAATAATAAGATAATAATTTTTTAGAAAGTTCTATGTAAATATATGGTCCCATTAAAATTATAAATTAATAATTTATATTTATACATATTTATATAAGTGTAAACCTATTAGTATATTGTTTTTTTTATATTTACAATGGAATTATCTTTATATTTTCTTGACATTTAATATATTGTAGATGAGATTTAGTAATATTATATCTAAAATCATATTTAAATTTTATGAAATAAATATTATATACACCAAATAATATAAGAAATCTAATATAAATGTCAAATTTCAAAAATGATAATAAATATCTATACACTAAAACAAAATATTNATATTTAAATTTTATGAAATAAATATTATATACACCAAATAATATAAGAAATCTAATATAAATGTCAAATTTCAAAAATGATAATAAATATCTATACACTAAAACAAAATATTTTTCTTATTTTAGAATAAATATATCTTAAAATCAAAATTCTAAATAAGGAAACTTTGGTAAATTAATATCTCTATAAATTAATAAAATTTCAAAGTCTCAACATTATTAATTTATAGAGGTTTAACTGTATATTAAAAGATAAGTACATTTGCGAGGCAACACTCACACAACCTTTCTCAAAAGAATTCTAGCGATTCTATTGGTTGATTTTTTAGAATTTATTTTTTGATTTATTTTTACCATCGACACTACTAAAAAGGAAATCCATTTAAATACTTACCTTTTGTGTTTTCTTGATTCAAAGAACATCCTTTTGCGATCCTTTCTCTGTTTAATTCATTAAATACTCATTAAATATTTTAGATGTCATAGAAACAAAATTAATTGAGAAGATATTTTCACTTTTAAAATCATGCATTTAAAACAAAATTAATTGATAAGATATTTTCTCTCCTAAAATCATGCATTTAAAACTTAAACCAAAATTCTGGTGCAATCTATTCACGAGATGTTCTCCTTTATCTTTATCAATAAGATATTCCAAAAATAATATTACCTTAAAAGTATAAGATTTATTGAGAATTTATAAGAGAATATGTTACTTCTTAGCTTATCATGCAAGCTAAATCATTGATAAACGTCCATCAATTTACTATAAATAAGACATTCACAGTAGAAGAAATGAAATCATTGAACTTTGTATTCTGAACTTTTTATGTTAGTAATGTTCTGAACTTTTTTTTTTCTTCTTATTATTTTAGAACATTAAGCTTTTATATTTCATGAGAGCTGATTTTTCTTTTTGGTTTATATGCAGATATCCTATTATGACGATTTCTCCACTGAAGCTATGTATGATTTGATTGTACACCTCTTTGATATATCATTTTGATAACATCTTTGTTCCTCAATCTGGTAAAAAAATTTACTCTATTTGATTACATCTCTCGGCTATATCATTTCAATAGCATCTTTTTGTGCTGCCAATACTTTTTTTTTTATTAGTAGATTTATATTATTGTTTAGAATTATAAGCTTATATATACATATATATTCCTTTGGTTTGTTGATTGTGATTTTGTTTTATGATCTTTTTAATTAAAATTGATATATATTTTTTGGTTTGCAATTATATGATCTTTTAATTAAAATTAAATATATATAGATAGTAATATTTATTAATCAAAAAGTTATATCAACTAATTTTTATATTTATTCTTTCCTTATTATATATCATTTAATATTTAAATATATGTAGTTTAAATGTAATTTACCTTAATGTTTTTAGTTTATTAATAACCTACCTTATTTTGAACACATATTACTTGTGCAACTTCAAATTATATTTATTGCATTGTTTTAATGCAATTTACCTTAATGTTTCTAATTTGTTAATTCGTCTTTATAAACTTATTTTGAACACATATTACTTGTGCAACTTCAAATTATATTTATTGCATTGTTTTAATGCAATTTACCTTAATGTTTCTAATTTGTTAATTCGTCTTTATAAACTTATTTTGAACACATATTACTTGTGCAACTTCAAATCATATTTATTACATTGTTTTAATGCAATTTACCTTAATGTTTCTAATTTATTAATTCGTTTTTAAAAACTTACCTTATTTTGAATATGATTTAATTGCACAAGTTTATAACATATTAATTGTAAATCATTAATTGAGAATATAACTTTAATATCTTTCTTTGAACTGTTTCATTATTTATTATGAAATTATATTCCTAAACATCATTTGTTATGAAAATATCTCCCTAATAACATAAGAAAAATGGAAGGCATAGTATATATAAAGGAGACACCTAAGGGATGTCAATACTAACTTATTAGTCTATTTTTATTCGATAAAAAAATTTAAATTTATAAATTCTTACATTTGTTTGTTTTTTAAATTAACAGATAAATAACACAGACGAAAGGCCAGTTGTAGTTAACTACAAAATATTTTTCAGTTTGTTTCAATAGCAATATGCAAATTTAATATTATTTTCGTCTCAATAAAATTTAGAAATCTATTAAATTATTTTATATTGTACAGTTGCTAACAAAATTTGACAATTTTTTGCAGGTTTCTATGGGATATTTTTAATTCATAACTGTTCTTACTTTATATTACTTATGGGTTATATTTAAAAAATTTATCACATTTTCTTTGCAGGTTTCTATGGGATTGTGTTATATAGTTCTATAGATTTACAATAGATCAATATCAAAACTATTTATTATTCTTTAATTTTATACTCATATTATGGTATTAGGAAAGATATACCTTGTTGGTAAAAGCTTTTAATTAGTTAATCCGTTTATTAATAACTTGCCTTATTTTGTTATCAATTACTTGCGCAAGTTGATATGTTGATTACCTTATTTTGCCATCAATTACTTGTCTTAAATGATATGTCAATTCTTGCAAATTTATGACAGTCAATTTTTAATATCTTTCTTTAAATTGCTTCATGGCTTATTATGAATTTTTTTTCCAAATTTTTAATATATTTCCTTAACTTGCTTCATGTCTATTTTAAACTAATATAACTTGCACAAAAAGACTAATATTTAATTCAAATCAGCTTATGATATTGTAGATCTAATAACTTTCTTTATTCAGTTTAAATATTTATTATAAAAATGTAATATTTTCTGCTTTGCCTCCTAAATCGGTATTACACTTTATAATTGTTTAGATTTTATAGTTACAATAACATACTAATGAGATGAATTATTTCTCTTGCAGGTCATGATGTTGCAGTCCTTAGGTGATATTTCCTTTGGTGGTGATTTTTCAGGAACTCATTTGTCTAAAAGAAAAAAAACCAAGAAGATCATGACAGTAACCTTGGAGGATAAACACTCTGTCAACAAAAAACATTCACACAAAAAAATCAAGGGCGAGTGATCTCGAATTTTTTGAAAAATATTTATTTGTGAATATTTTCCAGGAACAACAGATTTAGTCTTTTGTCACTATCCGCGATATTCATTATTATTTATTTCAAAGAAAAACACATTGAGTCTTTTCTTGTGCTCATGATTTTTTTTAAAATAATTGCATTGTAATAACACTCATGTTTTAGTAATAATCTGTTGGAAGAGATGAAATTATCTAATTTTTGTTATAATGACATGTTATTATTTAGTCAATGTATTCGCTATTGTTTTTTTAGTTATATTTTTATTAGATTATTTTTTTCAGATCTCAATATGTCCCCATTTATCACATTAATGATTACCAATTAATGATGATTACAACATCACGTAACATATACTCCCTCCGTTCCTAAATGAT